GTGTCGAATATTTGTGCAAAGATCCATCAGCGGCTGTACTTTCTTCATAGGCTTTTTTTTTTTAGGAGTATTTGTAGTGAGCCAAAATGTGTTGTTGACCTTCTGTAGAGCGAGTATTGAATCTATAATGTGATACGAAATCGTGAGCTGGTTTGGGAATCTCACAGTGAAATACAAATCTCGGATCCAGAGGCTGCAAAAACTAGCCTCCCGGCTGATTATGCTAGATCATGGGAGTGTCGCTGTCCACTTCGATCTCACCCCAGACTATTTTTGAGCAGTCAGTGATTAGACAGGCCAAGAACATCATCAGAGACTCCACTCACGTTCTCCACTCGCAATATGAACTGCTGCATTCTGGGAGGAGGTACAGGATCCCACTGTGCAAAAGCAACATGTTTAAGAACTCCTTTGTACCTCAGTCCATAAAGCTGCTGAATAACATCAGGTGATTGTGCGTTAGTGTCAACAAATGTTATGTGTGTCTTGTCCCTGTTTTTCGTTTTTTTCGTCTTTTTGTCTGTATCTGTGGGTGCTACTGACCCCCCTGCTCCAAGACACATTTCTCCCTCAGGAGACTAAGTAATAAATGAATCTGAAAGAGTTGTCCCTGATGAGCCACCCTTCACTCGAGTGGGTGTAGATTACTTCGGTTCCCTGTGAAGTAAAGAGCAGAAGGAGTATGGTGTAATTTTTACCTGCCTGGCCATCAGAGCCATACACATTTAAGTTGCTCCATCACTGGATACGGATTCTTTTATAAATGCACTTCGACGTTTTCTGGCAAGAAGAGGACAAGTTCGAGAGCTCCGTTCAGACAACGGCACGAACTTTGTTGGAGCAGAGCGGGAGCTGTAAAGTGCTATGGAGCAGTGGAATAAGGCGCAGATTAATCATGTGATGCTGCAGAGACGAATAAAATGGAGTTTTAATCCACCCACTGGCTCTCATCATGGAGGTGCATGGGAACGGCTCATAAGATCTGTGCGCAAAGTTCTGAACTCCACCTTGAGGACTCAAAACTTGGATGAGGAACTTCCACACTTTGCTGTGTGAGGCTGAAGCAATAATAAACAGTCGGCCGATCACTAAGGCCTCTATGGATGTCAATGATCTCGAGGCATTAACTCCTAATCACCTATTGCTTCTGAAGAACTCCCCATTACTGCCACCAGGAGTATTCCAGACCGCAGACTTGTATGCAAACAGGAGGTGGAAACAGATCCAATACATGGCTGACTTGTTCTGGAAGAGGTGGGTTAAGGAGTATTTACCTCAGCTTCAGGAGCGTCAAAGGTGGACAGGACCGAAGAGGAACCTCGCAGTTGGAAATCTCGTTCTCATTATGGACAATACAGCGCCACGGAACTCATGGCTGATTGGACGAGTTGTACAAACTTTCCCTGACCGAAAAGGCCTGGTCCGCCAGGTGAAGATCAAAACACGGACTAGCTTCCTGGATCGACCCATCACCAAAGTCTGTTTGCTGCAGGAGGCTGAGGCGGAGTAGTTCTAGGCCGCGGTTTGTACTTGGACTTTCTTGGATTACTTTTTTTGCTCAACCCGATTTTTTGTGGATTACCTTTTTTTGGTCATTTTTTGGACATGACTTGAAATGACTTTTGACTCTTATTATTCCAGAAGACTTCAGGTGGACTATTATTGTGCATTATGGACATTAATTAATTATTGGTGATAAATATTCATGCTAGCTTGTTTATGTCTCCTATGCATGTGGAAATGTTATGGGTAATTGGGTAATGGGTAATTATGTCATAATCAAGGGGCTGGTTGTGTAGGAGCCATAAATTGAATATAACAGTGGGCTGTGATTTGATTGGGTGATAGGCCGGGTGTGGGTCACGTGGTTACTGGGGCGGTGTCTACTTAGTTCTCACCTCTGTTTTATGAATGAAATCAGTAGTAGAGGGGGGGCTGGGTCACCGTAGTTTTTGTTGACCGTTCGTTTGTGTTACGAAGAATCGTATTTTGTTTCTAGAGCTCCTCGTCCGCAGCAACAACAGAAACGAACTTGCGGATGCACTCTAAAATGAATCTGAAGGGATTCTGTCACCATGGAAACCGGCGGCCATCTTGTGACTGTAAGAGCGACTGCCCAGCGTTAAAGAACTTCTCACCCCCGCTCCTCGAGGCTTACGTCACTCACATTCTCTTTTTAATTGTTTCTCCAAATGGGCGTAGCCTGGAGGACTAAAGGGGACAGAGGGGGGGTGAATGTTGGGCGGGTTAGACTGTGAGTGACACTTGACATCAGCGTAGTCTGTGTCAAAGATGGAGAGTGAACACAGACACTAGCTCTATCAGTATCAGAATCAGAATCATTTTTATTGCCACATAAGTAACAGGAAGTCACAGACTTGGAAATTGCTTTGGCTCAGTGCAACAGACAAAGAAGAGAGGTGGAGGTGGTACATGTGGATTATACTGCTCTACCGCACTTTCTGTCATGTTTAAACAACACTCTTTGTACAGACTACTCGTGAACGCCCCAAATTAAGAGATTAAGAGAGATCCTTTTTTGTCCCACAGTGGGGAAATTTCAATACTAACATACGTGCGAGCCATCAAATAGTAATGGCTACAGCAACACTGTCTGTACTGTAGTAGAACAGAGTGCAGAGTCAATGCACGAACACAAGCATCAGTCTGATGATTTAGTGTCAGTGAACACATTACACTGTCCTCTACACTTCTTCATAGACCTCACAGTGAACACCTTACACTGTCCTCTTCTCCATAGACCTCACAGTGAACACATTACACTGTCCTCTTCTCCATAGACCTCACAGTGAACACATTACACTGTCCTCTACACTTCTCCATAGACCTCACAGTGAACACATTACACTGTCCTCTACACTTCTCCACAGACCTCACAGTGAACACATTACACTGTCCTCTTCTCCATAGACCTCACAGTGAACACATTACACTGTCCTCTACACTTCTCCATAGACCTCACAGTGAACACATTACACTGTCCTCTTCTCCATAGACCTCACAGTGAACACATTACACTGTCCTCTACACTTCTCCATAGACCTCACAGTGAACACATTACACTGTCCTCTACACTTCTCCACAGACCTCACAGTGAACACATTACACTGTCCTCTTCTCCATAGACCTCACAGTGAACACATTACACTGTCCTCTTCTCCATAGACCTCACAGTGAACACATTACACTGTCCTCTACACTTCTCCATAGACCTCACAGAGACAGCAGCAGCCGCGACTGCAGCTGTGTACACAGCCGCGATACGCGACTCCTCTGCTCCAGTGTTTTTCAACCACTGTGCCGCGGCACACTAGTGTGCCGTATGATATTGTCTGGTGTGCCGTGAGAAATTCGTCTACTTTGTCTAAAAATAACTGCATTCGCTGTTGACGAGCGGTGACTTGTTTTGAACTGTGGAGTAACCATGTAATACTTTTTCAAATCAGTAGATGGCAGCAGATAGCTAAGTACTTTGAAACTGAAAAATTGGATGCGACCACTGGCTGTAACAGGTCAGCATTGTGGCGAGAAAGGTAAAATTGGATGCGACCAACAAATGTGGGAGGGAGCGAGACAAGAGCTTTGTTGCGAGTGAGAAGTGAAAGTGATAGAGACGTTTTTGAAAATGAATTATGCCGTTTCTGAACAGGATTAACATCCTCCGCTCTGCCCCGGGGCAGCTGTGGCCGCGTTGTAGTGGTTTAACTATGAAATGTACAATTTTTGTACAACAGCTCTCGCGAACGCACTTCTGAACTGGGTACCGAGCGCAGACCATAGTCGAGTGGACAGAACCATAGACATGCGGACCGGACAGAACCATGGACTCGCGTTCAGGACCTCCCGTGTCCCTCATCCAAAACTCCTGAATTTAAAGCTCGGATACCTACATTTTTCCCATGCACTAACAATGCATGTTCTTTGTGTGAGTTATTATTTGACTATTTGGGCAGAGAGTGGATTTTCTTAGTTTATTTCCACACAGTTTAGTGCCACTTTATTCCCAAACTCTTGTTAATTGTATCGAGAAATATTAAATAAAGCTTAATGTCAAGGCCTGGACTTAAGCATTTTGATGAGAATAACTGTATATTGTGAATATAGGCTACAGAGTATACTGTATACATTATAAGATAAGATAAGATATACTTTATATATCACACAGAGTATGTACAGTATATATTTTTTTACATTAGTACTGTATACATTTTTACATTTTCTCCTGGAGGTGTGCCGCAAGATTTTTTCAGTGAAAAAAGTGTGCCTTGGCTCAAAAAAGGTTGAAAAACACTGCTCTGCTCATCAGGAGAATGTGACATGTTCAACCGTTCACGTGTGCCGGTTGTGTTGGTTTGGTGGAGAGGCAAGGGGAGGGGGGAGTGGTTTCGAGTTGGTGCTACGGCTAAGCTAACAAAATCGCTTACTGCATCTTTAAGAAGATTTCCTTTATTGATCTCACAATGAAGAAATTCGGTTCGATGAATATATGTACACTCATACACTTATGATTCTTTTGGATCATCTTTGAATGAATTGAAAATAAAAACGTGTTACTTGTACAACTATGCATTTTCATGAAAAGAATAAAAAGAACCTAAGCTAACCTATACACATATCACATCAAGGCATGCAGTGTGCTGCTACTAATGCGCTCCTTATAGGCACAGTGGGGTAAAGTGTCTTGCCAAAGGACACACCGATAGAGGGAGTCGGTCTTATGGTGGGCTCGAACCCACGTCCTTCAGGCTCAAAGGCCAATTCATTTTATCTGCTGCGGTATTTCACATTTTCTTTGTGTATTTTGACCAAATAGAATATTAGGACTGGACTGAGTGAGTTCACCAGAACTATAGCCTTAATGCAGAAGAGGCTGATTTGAACATAAGCTGGAGCCACTTTCCTGAACCGTTTAATTCTTTGATCTGTTGTTGGCTAATCGACAACTTTGTAAAGACCTCCAACACAACTGCTGTTGTGGTTTAGTGCGATTTGGAAGGAGGTCTCTGAGGCTTGGACCTGGAGTCCCACAGGATCCACCTTTGGAAGGAGGTCTCTGAGGCTTGGACCTGGACTCCCAGAGGAGTCCACCTTTGGAAGGAGGTCTCTGAGGCTTGGACCTGGAGTCCCACAGGGTCCACCTTTGGAAGGAGGTCTCTGAGGCTTGGACCTGGACTCCCAGAGGAGTCCACCTTTGGAAGGAGGTCTCTGAGGCTTGGACCTGGAGTCCCACAGGGTCCACCTTTGGAAGGAGGTCTTTGAGGCTTGGACCTGGAGTCCCACAGGGTCCACCTTTGGAAGGAGGTCTCTGAGGCTTGGACCTGGAGTCCCACAGGGTCCACCTTTGGAAGGAGGTCTCTGAGGCTTGGACCTGGAGTCCCACAGGGTCCACCTTTGGAAGGAGGTCTCTGACGCTTAGACCTGGAGTCCCACAGGGTCCACCTTTGGAAGGAGGTCTCTGAGGCTTAGACCTGGAGTCCCACAGGGTCCACCTTTGGAAGGAGGCAGTTGGTCACTCAAACAGGAGTAAAAACATCAAGACAGAATGTTTGTCCTTGAATCAGAAATGGGGCTCAACACGACCAAAGCAATGAAGGGAAATGGACAAAACGTAAGTCATGACGATGCTTTTTCATTTCCCAAAATCAATGGAGACCATTGTTGGAACAAATATGAGGCCAAGCCCAAACAAGGCAAAGCTAATGATAACCAGAGTGTAATGTCACAGCAAAAACTTTTAGATACAAGAAATATATAGAATGTCTCTTGGGAAGTTTTTGTCTTTTGAATATGTGTCTTTTAAAATAGAACAAAAACTATCTCCTCCAATACTCTTCATTGTCCTATACAAGCCACCGCAGTCATGTCACAGCTTTATTGATAATTTTACAGAGTTGCTTTCAGTTGTGTGCACAGATTTATGATCTGGTAAAAATACTGCACATATCTTTACACTGTTATATTCAACACAAGAACAAAAAGGACACTACATCAGAAACACATCAAGTATCAACACATAGAATAAAAGTTCTTTAAACAAGCTCAAAGTCCTGATATGTGGTCTCTTAAAAAAAAACCTCCACAATGAAGCTTTACAGACAGAAAACTGTCCTGGGCACAAAATAAATATCTGATGTGATTGACAGATTTATTTACAGCTAATCAACGTGATTGACAGCGTACCGGGCAGCGGTGGACCGGCCCCACACGCTGGCCTCAATCATAAACTGGAAACAGTTAGACAGTTTTAGAGTCCCATGGCTGAGAAGAGTTGGTTTTGTGGCAATGAAACTATCAGATAATTATAGGCGTGTGTTTTGTTCTATAATATTATAAATATAAAATTAATTTAAATGGTCTACATTACAATTATGCATAGGCCAAATCCTTATGTTTTCTTTTCGTTTTTCAAGTCACCAAATATATTCCTACGTCTACTTGAATTCACCATTGATATAAGACTTTGGAATCAGGATGGGTCTGTGTACCTTCCATTCATTCATCAAAAAACAAAATCCCTTTCTCAAACTATGGGTCTCCCCGAGGTTTCTCATGATCTCGTGATGATTATGAGCACGTAAATATTGAATCAAATCATTTGTTGAAGCTGAACTAACTTCAGTAAATGGGATTGCAGCAGGTGTTTCAAGATGTGAATGGTTTTCCACTGAGTCACTCGCTCACATGGCTCAGGGACTTTGTGTTTTTGCTCAGACTCATGAAAAGTTAGAGGGAACATTGGTTAAGACTGAAGTGTGATCCTGTAGAGTCTGACTCTGGGTTCACATGATGCAGCCTTAGCTCTGTCTCCTTCACTTTGTTCCAGATGCTGCGTCTTCACACCTGCTTCTTACAGGTTTTAATGTGTCCATGAAGAGAAGACCTGTGTGTAAAAGACTTTCCACACTTTTCACAGACAAATGGTTTCTCTCCAGTGTGGATCCTCTGATGACGTTTGAGAGAATCACTCTGAGTAAAACTCTGATCACAAACGTCACAGCTGAAGGGTTTTTCTCCAGTGTGGATTCTGCTGTGGGTCTTGAGATATGCTTTTGTAATAAAACCTTTTCCACACAGATCACACTCGTATGGTTTTTCTCCAGTGTGGCTCCGATGGTGGACTGTGCGATGTGTTGCAGTTCTAAAAGTTTTACTGCAGAAGTCACATGCAAATGGTTTTTCTCCGGTGTGGATCCTCTCATGACTTTTGTAGGAGGAAATCACAGCAAACTCCTTCCCACAGTCTCCACAGACGAATGGTTTTTCTCCAGTGTGGATTCTGTAGTGTTTAGTGAGGTCAAATAAACGTGTAAAAGTCTTTTCACACTGGTCACATTGGTGAGGTCTCTCTCCTGTGTGGACATGCTGATGTACTGAAAGGTAGTCTCTTCTCCTAAATGTTTGTCCACACTGATCACACTCAAATGGTTTCTCTCCTGTGTGGATCCTCTGATGATCTTTCAGAGTATTCTCATGTCTAAAACTCTGACCACAAACGTCACAGCTGAAGGGTTTTTCTCCAGTGTGGATTCCTTTGTGGCGCTCAAGATTTGCTGCTTGAGTAAAACCTGTTCCACACAGGTCACACACATATGGTTTTTCGCCAGTGTGAGTTCTGTAGTGGATCTTTAGTTCAGAAGCAGATCTGCAGGTCTTTCCACACTGATCACAGATGACCCTCATTTTGTAGATGGACTTTGTAGATCTGCAAACAAAGAATAGAGTAAGTATTGCATTACTACTGTAGGAGACATTCAGGGTTTTAGTTTTCCTGTGTGACTGTGACTGGTACATGCACGCGCTTATAGTATCACGTGCTGCTGCACTGTGGTTGTCTATTTAGTGCACATGCCAGCTTCAGAGGTGTGTGTGTGTGTGTTATGGTGGTGGGGTGACCCTCATACATAAAATTCCCAGTAAGTGCCTGATTCATTTCTACTCCCCGCAATAAACTCTATAATACTGTGCAATTGCTCCGTCTGCACGTCATCAGATTCTACTCCCTTGCTTAAGCCTAGTGTTTAGTCGCGTGGCGCGGAGCTTACGGCGGTGACGTGACGTCACTTGAACAATTCAAGGATCAAGACCCTTGCGTAGCCACCCCTGCTCCCTCGAAAATGTCTAACTACGCAGCTGGTGCCGCGGAGAAGCTCCACTGTGATTGGTCTGTGTACAGTGCCTTGCAAAAGCATTCACCCCCTTGGCTTTTTACGTATTTTGTTACATTACTGCCTGTAGTTCAATGTTTTTTAAATCTGAATTTCATGTGATAGATCAGAAAACCATAGTCTAAGTTGGTGAAGTGAATTGAGAAAAATATATACATAAAACTATTTTTCAGAAGTGAAAAACTGGAAATTGGCATGTGCATAAGTATTCACCCACTTTGTTATGAAGCCCATAAAAAGCTCTGGTGCAACCAATTACCTTCAGAAGTCACATAAATAGTGAAATGATGTCTACCTGTGTGCAATCTTAATTCCAGGTGTTGAGGCAACAAAACACACAAAATGCCAAGGGGGTGAATACTTTTGAAAGGAAATGTATGTGTGTTTTGGATGGAAGCGTAGAGCGGATGCGGGGAGCATAGACGAAGGATTACAACATTCCCTTCAAAACTATGCAGGGGGGTGCGCTAGAGTGTACGAGCAACTGTGGCTGTGTGGGGCCAGCGCAAACGTAACCTGCGCTGCGCGGGTGTACACAGGCCTTTAGCCCGCCGTAGCATCATGGATAAAGTTCAGCCCTCCCATACGCCACAATATTTGTCAACAGAAAACCCTGTCGTTTGTTGAAGCGCAGTTTCATTGTATTGTTGGACAACTCTGCAACACGCATGGATTTTACGCAGTGCCTAGGGCTCGGCGATAAATACATTTTAATTATTAAGTCCAATTTGACGTTTAGGGGAATGAAAAAAAAAGATTTTTTTACTTCCACGAAAGACGCCACCCCTTGGGCTTCCGTAGTTCAGAGTGTGGTCCCTCCGCCGCTTTCCAGCTACATAAACAACATGTCCGTCAACAGAGAGGAGCTAGTTCCAAAGAAAGGCACAGTTACTTCTGTTGTTTGGAGTTGGTTCGCTTTTTCAGTGTCAGACAAATAAAGCCACATTGCAAAGTGTGTTTAAAAGCTATTGCTACCAAAGGTAGCACTACAAACTTGTTCCAGTGTCTTAAACCAAGACATACAGCCGAGTGGGAGGCGTGTGCCTCTCAGCGAGGCGAACAAGGCCGCAGTTTGAACAAACCCGAAAAAAAATATTATTCATTTTATGAAAATATGGATTAAATTAAATTTTCTCATAGCTGCATACAGTATATTATAAAATACTTTACGATTTTCCTGCATAATTTTCTTTTCCTGTTTTTCCAGTCCTAATGTATACAAATATTTTATATTATATTTATATACGTTTCAGTGCGTGTCAGTGTAATGGATGACTCATTACTGTCCAGTGAAGAGGCTAATTTACCATCCTGACCCATGCTTATACTGGAAAACAGTGTTAAGATAGGTGGTCACTATGAATCAATGGGTTAATGCAATTTCATGACAACCCCTAACATGATTAATCATAAATGGCGCGTGTGTCCACGTGTGTGTACCCGTGTGTGTGTCCATGTGCGTGTCCACCGTGTGTCCACGTGTATATCCACGTGTGTGTCCACGTGTGTGTCCACATTTGTGTGTCCACATTTGTGTCCACATGTGTGTGTCCACATGTGTGTGTCCACATGTGTGTGTCCACGTGTGTGTGTCCACGTGTGTGTGTCCACGTGTGTGTGTCCACATGTGTGTGTCCACATGTGTGTGTCCACATGTGTGTCCACATGTGTGTGTCCACATGTGTGTGTCCACATGTGTGTGTCCACATGTGTGTGTCCACATGTGTGTGTCCACATGTGTGTGTCCACATGTGTGTGTGTCTGTGTCCACGTGTGCGTACGCATTTCACTGTAGCTGAACGAAGATTGACCGGTAAATTGAGAGCTTTGCCTTTCGGCTCAGCTCCCTCTTCACCACAACGGTTCGATACAGCGACCGCATCACTGCGCACGCTGCACCGATCCGCCTGTCAATCTCACGCTCCATCCTTCCCTCACTCGTGAACAAGACCCCGAGATACTTGAACTCCTCCACTTGAGGAAGGACCTCTCCACCCACCTGGAGAGGGCAAGGCACCTTTTTCCGGTCGAGCACCATGGCCTCAGATTTGGAGGTGCTGATTCTCATCCCAGCCGCTTCACACTCAGCTGCAAACCGCCCCAGTGCATGCTGCAGGTCCTGGTTCGTTGGAGCCAGCAGGACAACATCGTCCGCAAACAGCAGAGATGAAATCCTGTGGTCCCCGCACCGGACCCCCTCCGACCCCTGGCTGCGCCTAGAAATTCTGTCCATAAAGACAGTGAACAGAACCGGTGACAAAGGGCAGCCTTGGCGGAGGCCAACATGCACCAGGAACAGGTCTGACTTGCTGCTGATGAACACAGCTCTGGCTCCGGTCATACAGGGACCGGACGGCCCTCAGCAGAAGACTCCGTACTCCTCAAACGTCTTCTCCAAATCCACAAAGCACATGTGGACAGGTTGGGTGAACTCCCATGAACCCTCGAGTATCCGATGGAGAGTGTAGAGCTGGTCCAGTGTTCCGCGACCGGGACGAAAACCACACTGCTCCTCCTGAATCCGAGATTAGTCCTCCTTTTAGTCTCCTTTCCAGTACCTTGGAGTAGACCTTACCGGGGAGGCTGAGGAGTGCAATCCCACATTAATTGGAACACACCCTACGGCCCCCCTTCTTGTAGAGAGGGACCACTCCGGTCTGCCACTCCATTGGCACCCCCCCCCGATCGCCACGCGATGTTGTAGAGACGTCTCAGCCAAGACAGTCCTACAACATCCAGAGACTTTAGATAGTCAGGACGGATCTCATCCACTCCCGGCGCCTTGCCACCATGGAGGCTGCCAACCTCGGCCAGGGAGATGGAAGTATCCGCCCCGACATCCTCTGCCTCCTGGACGGAGGACGTGACGGGGGGATTGAGAACCTCGAAGTACTCCTTCCACCGCCCAACAATATCCCCAGTCGAGGTCAGCAGCTCTCCACCCGCACCGTACACGGTGTTGGCAAAGAACTGCTTCCCCATCCTGAGCCGCAAGACGGTTTGCCAGAATCTCTTTGAGGCCGACCGATAGTCATGCTCCATGGACTCTCCGAACT